CCCCTACAACCTTCCTATACAAACAATTATTGTGCTTCCAGGCTTGCCCGAACACATGAACTTTGCGGCAATTACAACACAAAGATCCCCACACCCATTCCTCCCCGGTCAGGCCTTGCACTCACCTCACATTGCCTTCCATAACGTTCTGTCTCTGATTATCCGCACCATTCACCCGAGCAGCGAGTCCAGGACCGATCTTTACGCTGTGGTCTTCTGTCTCCCGCGAGACCTTTCACTTGGCAGTATTCTGTATTGATCCCCCTGCTTTCTATGGAGTTGTGCCATTTGAAATCACCTCTCGATCCCCCCGCGCAGTAAGTTCGGTCTTGCTTATGCCGACCCTTTTGTGCTGTTTTCTTAGTTTTCAATCCACACAGAGATATTAATATTGTGATCCGAGTGCCTTGTTTATGATACGGTGAAAGGGGGCTGGTCATTGCTCGTGTTCATGGGTTTGCTTTCGCTCTTCGGCTGTGAACGTTTATCAGTGTAGAAAGGAATTCGTCTCAACGTTTGAGGCAGGTGGCGGCACTCTGCTGGTAGGCTTTCTATTGTCAGGAGTTGATTGTGTTCTGTTCGTGGAAACTCATCGCGGAAACAAGTGTTGTTATTTGTTGGCTTGGTGGAATCTTTTAAGGTCTAAGGTAAGCTTGCACGTTCTATATTATGTAGGCCTACAAAGTTTTGGACTTCGATTTTGTTTATGCTTATTCTTTGATACTGATTTTGTCTGTGTACTTTAAGCAGTCATTTACAGCAAGGGGAAAAACATGTTAAGGGTTGCATGTAACGAGTACAAGTTAAGCGAATCTGTTCAGCAATGGAACCTGGTTTTTATTCTCGTTGAAATTGCTTCGTGTATATTTCTTTCCCTCTGTGGTGAGAACTGATCTGTATTGTGAATCACTGAGTTCTATTGACGAGTGTACTTTGCTGTACAGGCGGGAAATTCTAATAATTTAAGAAAATTCTGAAAGCAAAGAGAGAACGAAAGAGAAAGCGAGAGACAGAGGGAGAGAAAAAGAAAGAGAGGGTGCAGGAAGAGAGGTACTGAGAGAGAAAGAACGAGATAGAAAGACTGGGAAAAGTAAGTAGTAATTGTGCTTTACGGCGCTCGCAACTGCATAAGGTTATATGAACGCGCGGGACACATTAAGCTTTCTCAGTTGAACTGGAAAGGAGGTGAACGGAGAAAATTTTAGAGACGACAAATTTCTGGCGCTATCCGGATTCGAACCTTGGACCTATTGAATGAGAGGCGAACACCTTAACCTCTAGGCCACGAGAGCCCCCAGACAGGGAAGAAGAAGAAGAAGAAGAAGAAGAAGAAGAAGAAGAAGAAGAAGAAGAAGAAGAAGAAGAAGAAGAAGAA